GGGAATGACTCAAATAGGAACAGTTATTTTAAAGAATCCAAATGAGCGACAAGTGGGGGATATCACAGATCCAGGGAGAACCTCGGTGACCTCTCAACTATCTTATTGTTTGATTTTATGTCTTTGAAATGATGTTATTTAATGTTTAAACCTGCAATTTATTTTTAGAATTTAGAACTTACGTTTGCACGATATCTGATCGTGCAAATAGCCCAAAAAGATAGGAGGATTTACACCGTACCGTACGATAACCTCGGAATCCTAAAAGTGTTAGGATTTATAATTGCACAACAGGGTTGTGCAAAAGCCTAAAGATAGGGTGATGATTTACGTTGCGCTAAACGAACCACCTAGAAGTTCTATGACTTGTTATTTAAACTAAGGAAAATGTTTAGTTGTTGTAGACTTATTTTGATGTTGCAGATCCATCTCGAAGTTGTTTTTTTGTGTGTTCTAGTCGTGTTGTCCACGGTGTTCGCTCCAAGCTCCCCGTTGTAGCACCTTCAGATTCGATATTAATTTTAAAGGTACATGTGATTGTTTAGTCAACGTTCTGCTGTCGGGTACCTTCTATGGAACCAACTACTGACTTCCTATTCTAAGGTATAGTGTGTAAAAGTAGCAGTAGCAGGTAGAAATATAGTAACAAGATTTTAAGAAATCTAGCATGAATTGCATCAACAAAAGAAATACCACTTAGAAAACTCAAGAGGAGCGGCAAATGATCCACGACGAAAAAAAAATCGAGAAAATAGACAGATGACTCACGATAAAAATCTCCAATTAAAAAAAAGGGCAAATAGTAACTCAAAGAAAGTCATCAAAAACACGGGAAGATCCCGTGTTAAAGACCACGAGTGTTTTACCAAAAGTTTCGATAAAATCTCACAAAAAATCCGAAAAAAGAAAACTGCAAGCACTCGGGTCGGGGCTAGACTCAAATATTATATATTTGTACTCAAGGGACATCGAAGGCTACTATCGGTCACCCGGATGTATAGAGCCCGCAACTCAACCAGAAGGGTGTCATACTAAACCTAACTTAGGAGGATACTCCTTAGCCCGATACTGATAATCGATAAGTGAACAACCAAGTTACGATACATTTAAATTTATATTTTAGCATGCATATAAATTTTAGGCATATAAAATGAAGTTATATCAATTTTGTAGTAAAATATTTTTTATAAATATTATATTTGTTCTTATCATGTTCTGTTCTTATCAGTTTTGAAAAGTTATGATTGTCCACGAGTCGATCACGCTGTCGGGCGTAGGACCGCCAATAACCTAAGAAAGTAAGGGTCCTCTGTTAGTCTTGTGTCGGTGAATGTTACTATCATCCTACAGTTTATCAGGTCCCAGGATTGGGTTTTGTTGTCGTAGGATGAAATATCATTCTGCTCTACCACCCATGTGCTTTTGTTATCATCGCCCTACGCCTCAAAAACAAAACCGACTTACTTGCGACATTGTTTGGTGGTTTCATATATAGCAAAAAACTATATATGGATACTTATATATCAGACATAAGTACCGAAAATCGAACCAAAAGCAAGGAAAAAAAAGAATAAAAATGGGGATGAGAGAGAGGAAGAACTGATCAACTCAAAAGATCGAAGAGACGAAGGGTGAATCAACCCTCAAAACTTGTAACGAAAAGATCTGAAAAGGAGGGCCCAAAATCTATGAATCAATCCAAGAAGGATATCATTTTCTCAAATTTCATAAATGGATCAACCCAAGAAGGGTATCCCTTCCAATTCTTGTTTGGAACAGGTCGAAACGGGCCCGAATTAATGTGACAATTGTTTACACAGCTCAACCATCACTTACACAATCACACACCCAAGCCTGTGGCATTTATGTTATCCAAACCTTAATGTCAAACTTCCAAAAAGAAACTCTTTCATGAATGATAATTTTATGAGCTTTCAAATCCTTTATGAATCCGATTCATATTAACTTTATGATTTCCTGAAATGAAGTTGTAAGAGCCTTTCATATTTCACAAATCAAACAAAAAGGGATGTAATTTTCAAACGACCACTTTCTAAACTCCAAAAACCTTGCATGTCACATCAAAATGCCACTCCTAATATCCTCAAAATCGCAGCTCAAAAGTCTTACAAAAATATACTTCAAAGGCTCAAAAACTGAAGCACAAAAACCTCCAAAAATCGCGGTTAAACATTATCAAATAAAGCCTCAAACTACAGCTACCAACCCCCCAAAACCGCAGCCAAATACTATCAAATAAAGCTTCCAACTGTGGCTCGAAATCGCAGCCAAACACGCCTCAAAGCTGTCCCAAACATCTAAAAGATCATCTTGTGGAAAAAAAAAAAAGCATTTGAATTCTTTAAGTAACAACGATTGAAGTATTTCACCTTGCAAACATTAAACCCATTCAATTCCGCCTTAAATTGAAAGTTTCCAATGAGATATGAACCCAACACCACATAGAGGAACCCAAACAGATGCTCTCGGGTAGGAGCAGCAGAAGGAGCCACCAACCACACTCAATCACTAAGGAGCCACAGGAGAAGGCTCACGGCCAGGGGCAACAAGGAGAGAGCCAAGCCCAAACCAACCACAACACAAACCAAGGAACCACAACAGGAAGGCTCACGGTCAGGGGCAGCAAGGAAAAAGACAACCTAAATTCAACACAAAGGAGCCACAGGAGAAGGCTCACGGCCAGGGACATCAAGGAAAAAGTCAAACCCAAACCAACCACATTCAGCATAAAAGAGCCACTGGAGAAGGCTCACGGACAGGGGTAGTAAGGAGAAAGCCAAGCCCAAATTAATCACAGCACAAACCCCAAGCCCAAAGCTCAAGACCTTAAAATAAAATCAAGCTTAGTTGTTCATATATTTCAAACAAAGAAAGCAGCAGCAAGGGCCAAAGCCATACCACCAAAATCAGCCCCAAAAGGCTAAGAAAAAGACAAATTTTTTTATTTAAGTATTATGAATATAGAAAGCAATAAAGAAACAACAAAATAAGACACCAAAGCAAAGCTTTCAAAGCTCCCAAAATTAAATTAAAAAAAAATCACCAGCATATACTTCGAACAGGGGCAGCCATGGGAAGTTAAAACCGAGACCTGCAAGTGGCCAAATCCAAGCAGTCATTCAACTAATCCGAGCCCAGTAAAAGGGCCAAACCAAGCAGCCATACTACTAAACCGAGCTCAACAAGAGGACCAAAACCAAGCAGCCATACAACTAAACCGATCCCACCAAAGGGGCCAAAATAGAGCCACCAAAAATCAGATTCCACAAAGCTTTAGAACCCAAAATTTGCACTCAGCATATACTTCGAACAGGGACAGGTAACAGAAACAGAGAAACACAAGTGAGTTCCTAAAACCGACATCCCAAAGCATCGAAACGAATTCCAACATATATTTCAACAAGGGTAACAATAATAGAGAGCTTAAGAATCAAGTCCCAAATCAACATTTCATTTAGCATGTATTTCAAATTGGTAAATAACATCATAGAGCAAAACTGAGACCGCCAAATAGGCTCCTAATAAATTTTAAAAAATAAATTTCCATCCAACATGCATTTCGAGCAGAAAAAGGCAGCCGCATGGATTATGTTCCAGCTCATTAATTCTATAACCATTCTCATTCTTAATGTTAAGCTCAAATAAATCTTAAAGTAGCCTTAATTTCCCAATTTCAGGTGCATTAGAAAGAACATGCATTCAGGAGCACTTTCAAGTGATGCAGATTAGAAGAAGGAAGAGGGTTAACTTTTGATGAAGATTCAAAACAAACTCAAAAACAAGTCTAAGAAAATAAAATCGGCAAACACCTCCCTTAAGAACCTCGATGGAAAAGCACAAATCTTCTAAAAATAAGCCCGGCAGCGAGATGCCTCATTTTCTCTTTTCCTCTCAAAATTTTCAACAACCTACCATCGTACCCTAAGAAGCCTTTTATAGGCATAAATGAGGGGGACAACCATATTTACCACAGCTTTGTGGTCGAATCAAACGACGGGGAAGGAATCGTCACAATAAAGAAGAAGGTAAAGTCTCGAGAAGAAGGGTTATTATAATTAATAATATAAATATAAAAATATTTAATATTTCCAAAATAATATTTGATTCGTACTTTTTTATTCGTGTGTCACAGCATAACAAAATGGATGTTCTTTTGTAAGTAATTCTGACGTTCCGGACGCGTTGGTGTGGTCCGTTTCGTCGTCTGAGGTCGTTTTGATGAATTCATCGATTTGCGTGCAATTTGTTCGTGTGTAGAATTATGGAGATATGAATGTCTTTCCTAGCTAAAATTGGTGTCTCGGGCGCGTTGGCGTATTCCATTTTGTCGTAGGAGGTCATCCGGAGAAGTTCGCGTTTTCACCCATCTTTTAAGCTCAATTCTAGTCCGATCTTGTGCAACTTAGTGAATTTTGTGCATTTTGTATGTGTGTGTGTGATGATAAAGTCCTGAAGAGGTTTTCCTAGGGCTTGAGATTCTATTGGGAACTTCTCCCTGAGTCTCCACATGATAGTGCTTAACCACTCGACCATACGAAGATTGTTTTGAGATCATCAATGCGAGACATCACAAGAGAAATAGGAGATGGCTGAAATTTCTAAGGGGATGGATTCCAATACTGGTCCTCTAAGATAGTCAATAGGAATCCCTAGAGCTAGATCCTAGGATCCTAAGGAAAAAAGTAATGACCTCAAAATGAGGTCAACAAATGCATAGGAATTAAGTGATATGAATGTAAATGCCCCAATAATATATGCTATGCATGAAGAGCATTTTTCATTAACCTCTCCCAAACATCAAATTCACGGAAACTGACGGAAACTGGAAGTTTCCTTTAATTGAAAGCATGTAGCTGCACATTCCCTTGGAATCATAGAAAGTAAAGTGCAGTTTATGATCTTTTCTGATAGTAAATGATTGAATCTAAATCATTTGCAATAAGTATTTTCTTCTAAATGGCGGCTTCATTTTTTGGCAGTTACTTCAATTTTGGTAATTTTTGTCAATACGTTCAATAAATCTCATGAAGAGAATATTCGTACCGCTGATGCCGAGAAGAAAAAGCTAGAGATGGCTGCCATGAAAGAAAAAGGAAGTAGTTCTGGTAGATGAGATTTTGACGAGGCTGTTTTTTCAAAGCTGCAATCCCTAATATGCTAACCTTGAGTGGAGATAGATAGTACGGCATGAACTGGTGAGTTCATTTGAAGCAATGCATCCTTTTACACATTATTCACCTTGTTATTCAATAAAAACTGGAATATTTCTAGTGTGTTTGTCTGTCTAACAGTCAGTTGGATGCGCCAAAAATTTCTTTATTCGGTCTTCTCTGAGATTCATGGAACATGGAATGTGTATTTGAATCAACCGCACAGCAGCTATCTTTCTCCACTGGTTAGTTTTGTGCTCTATTTTTTGATGAGCAATACTCATTCAAAAGTTGCGGTAGCATTTATGATAATTTTAAGGGGCATTTATATATATGCCACACAGTTCTTATGTATTTACATACTAACACCTAAACTTTCATATTTACATCACATAAAAAATACCATCATTATTAACTTTTTTTAATTGGAAAACACCTTTTTCATGCGTAAGCTTATGCTCCAAAGTGTGATAAGTATAACTATCAAACTTTAGGTGTTAGATATGTAAATACAGAAGAATTTTGTGGTATGTATGTAAATTTCCCTAATTTTATTAGGTCTGGCTAGGTTTTTTTTGGAAATGTTTTCAGAAAATCTATTTTTGTTTGAAAAACTCTTGCGATAGCTTTTTTACATCTACCATATTGTGGTTGTTAATGTTGCTCTTCATCAAATAAATCTCTAATATTGTGTCTGCTTTTTGAAAAGTTAATCTTCTTAAAGATTACCACACCTCTTAATGTTGTTATAAGCTCACATTTCTGCCGTCTCAAATCGTAGTGATGTTGTGATGCCTTGCAGGCTTTTGATGATATGATCTATACAGAAAATTTGCTGCATTTGGATACTGGTCGTATTAGCATTGTAATATAAGAAAGTTGAGAGCATTTTATTGTTTATTGCCAGGTGCATTAGATTGTCTTAGGTCATTTACACATTGTCTTCGACAAGGATTTACATTTCTTGTTTACAATTACATGCAAGCATGGCTTGTTCGTTGGTGGTTATGGTTCTGCCACCTTTAGGGCATGCATACCGCACAATTCTTATCTTTTTAAACTTCAGCATTTACGTACATAGCACAAGTTTATAACATCACGTCTATTATTACTAATTTTAGAAGTGAAATACTGTTTTTCATGAAAAGATTATGGATATAAATATTTTACTTTAGGTCTTAAATATGTAAATTGCACAAGAATTGTGGTATGTATGTAAATTTTCTTTCTGGGTGATTAAGTTGTTATGTCATTTCTTTTATTTTTTTTTGGCAAATGTCAGGTCTTAAGTGGAAATTATTTCAAAATACATAGCAATCAAGTGGTTTGTACGTAAATATTCCCTCTTTTTCAAAGCAACTGTTGCCATCCGACTCAATATCCTTAGCAGAATAAGGCTGTAGAGAATAAAAGGGAAAAAAAAAGAGCTCAGATATACTTCACTTCATTAAGATTAGATGGCTTTTCTGTGAGCTTTCTCTTATCAAACAGTGGATGTGTACTCAATCTTTTCCTTAAAATAAAGTAGAATTACTCTGATGACTATTTTTGTTTCACGTAAATTATTATGCAGTTTAAAATTGTTGTTTCTTAATTTGTTTAGATTTGAACAATTTTTTAAACAAAATGACCATTAATTTTATTTTTTTCAATCCAAAAAACAAAAATACAAATTCTTATATTTATTTTATTGCACATTAAAAAATTTGTAAGTATTATAAATACACAATTGTTTTTTTATTAAAAAACCAAATGATCTGTTGGTGAGAAAAGTTTTCTTTTGGATCAATCTAAAATAAGCACAGCTACGCTCCAAATCTTAATCGGTTATATCCCTTTCTAGAGATTTATCGGTCCCCTTTTTGTAAGAGATTATTAAGTTTGGTTTCCACATTTCTAAGTACCGGCGACGATCCAAGCACGTAGAATGCACAGTGACATGATCGAATCCTCACCTATTATTTGAACATAAAGTTCACCGAACGTAATAATTTTCCCTTTTATGGGGTACTTGGATTTTGAAGTCCTCGCTCAAGTCTATCTTTCGACTATTAGGCTCAAGGTATATCAAATCCTCAACTTGACTCAACCTGTTGGGTAATGTGGAGACAATCTCAGTTGTCATTCACAAACCACATCCTCCCTATCGTTCATCTACCTCCCATCTACCTCTCTCCTGGTTTCTATAAATAGTCTTTTATGACTTGTCATAAAAAAAGTCAAGTCAAGCAAGTCCAAGTCAAGTCCTCTAAGAGAGAAAGAGATGAAGAGAGAGCGAGAGGGAGGGAGAAAAGAAAATAGAGATTTTCTTGTAAATATCGATGCGCTCGACGGTGTAATTTTTTCGAAGAAATAAAATCCTCTGCAGCTGCGTGAATGTAGCAAAAGTTGTCGAATCACGTAAATCTGTGTCGCTCTGGTGTTATCTTATGCGTGCAATTTTTCTTGTTCCATTTTTCGTTTATTATCGTTGTTTTTCACAACTTGTATCAGAGAAATGTTCGAATCTAAAGAAGAACGATGACCGGAAACGAAGTGATGGATTCAGGGATCGAGAAGTTCAATGATATATATTTTGTTTACTGGATGATGCAGATAGATGATTACTTCTATGGGTAGAAACTTCATCTTCCGTTATTGAGAAAGCGACCGGAAAAGATGAACGAGGCAAAATGAAATCTGTTGGATCGATAGGTTTGGGGAGTTATTCAATTAACCCTGTCGGTTGCCCACAACGTCATCAAAGAGAAGACTACTGTGAATCTCATGACGGCTTTATCAGGTATGTATGAAAAGCCATCGGCGAATAACAAGGTGCACCTGATGAAAAGGTTATTTAACTTGAAGATGGCGGAAGGTATGTCGGTTGCTCCACACCTGAATGATTTCAACACTATCACAAATCACTTATCGTCTGTTGAAATTGATTTTGATGATAAGATACACACGGTGATATTGTTGACTTCATTGTCAAATAGCTAGGAAGCCATGAGGATGACAGCTAGTAGTTCTGCAGGGAAATCTAAGCTGAAATATAATGATATTCATGATTTGATTTTGGTTGAGGAGGTGCACAAGAATGATTCTAGTGAGGTCTCGTGTTCAAGTTCGGTGCTGAATGTTAATTTCAGAGGGAGATCGCATGACAAGAACTCAAACAAAAGAAGATCAAAATTAAAGTCTAGTCAGCAGGTTGTTTGTTGGAATTGTGGCAAGGATGACTACATAAAAATGAACTGCAAGAATCCTAAGAAGAAGGAGAATGATGTCGCTACTGTTGTAACTGAAAAAATACATGATGCACTATTATTGGCAGTTCACGGTTCTGTTGATGACTGAATACTTAATTCATGAGCTTCCTTCCATACATCTTCCCGCCGGGAGTTAATGCGAAATTATGTTGCAGGTAACTTTGGGAAGGTATATCTAGCTGATGGAAAAGCTCTAGACGTGGTTAGGATGAGAGACGTTGATATTGCACTCCCTAACAAGAGCAAATTGACTTTGTAAAAGGTCAGGCATGTTCCTGAGTTGAAGAAAAACCTCATCTCTATTGGGCAGCTCAATGAGGGTGGTTATTCGGTAGTGTTCTCAGATAGCACCAGGAATGTTACCAAAGGAGCATTAGTACTAGCTCGGGGTAAGAAAACTGACACAGTATATATGATTACAGGTTTACTCAGGTGTGGACACATGAATATAAGGTGCATTTTGAGGAAGCAGAAGAATGTCAATTTCTTGAAATGTGGCAGAGCACCAAAGGCAGGAAAACCGAACCTTGTACAGACAAATGGTGGAGCACCACATAGCTGTAAAAAAATCTTGCAAGATAAGAATTTGAGCAAGTGAGAGCTGACCAAGGAGGAGGAGGAGGATTTTCTGTCAGGGAATCAGACTTAGGAGCTGACAAAATTTTCACCAGGGAAGAAGACATTGCACCACAAGTGAGTGTACCAGGTAAAGACTGCGTTTGATGGCGGTAATAGGTACAAAACTGGACTTGTTGAAAAGAGCTTTCAGCAGGGGCAGGATATTGCTCATGCAGTGGGAGTTGTAAGCAATTACAGGAGTAACTCAACAAAGAGCTTGGTGGTACAAGGCTTCGTTGACGGTGATATGTCAACTGAGGGTGTTACTCGTAAGAAGCTGAAGTTGTGATCGACTTTAGTTGGTCTTTTGACATGAAGATAGAGATTTTGAGTTGTAGAGGTAGAGGATATTATGTTTAAGGAAAATGTTGGTATAGCTAGTAGATGATGCGGTCAGTAGGTGATACAGTCAGTGTCTCAATCTCTAAGTGGGAGAATTGTTGGGTAATGTGGAGACCCGGTCCACCGCAACTTAATTAGCTTCCTAATTAAGAATCTCACCAACCGCTCACATACATTCTCACTTACCGCTCACATACCACATACCGCTCACCTACTTCTCACTTATCGTTCTCTTGATTTCTATAAATACTCTCTTATGGTTTGTCATAAAAAAGCTAAACCAAGCCAAGTCCTCCTAGAGAGAAAGAGAGAAAAAGAGAGAGGAATTGAGAAAAGAAAATAGAAATTTTCTTGCAAACATCGAGGAGCTCGACGGTGTACTTTCTCGAAGAAATAAAATCCTTTACAGCTCCATGGATGTAAGCAATTTTGTCGAACCACGTAAATCTGTGCGTTACTTTAGTGTTTTTTTTTTCGTGTAATTTTTCTCGTTCCATTTTTCGCTTTATTGTCGTCATTTTTCACAACAAAACCTTGAAACTATTAGGCCCAAGGCACATCTAGCGATTATGAATAATACCCTTAACCTTTCTCCAAATTTACCAAATACACTTCAATAAAACTGAAGGACATTTACATACAAACCATCCAATTTCTATGCATTCATATATCTAACACCTAAATTCTATTTTTTATGTCAATCACCCAAATCTTTCATCACATTCAAAAAAATCACTTTTTCTAACTTTCAAATGGTAAAGTAAACCATTTTATGCATAGCTAAGGTAGCATATATGTAAAATTGAAGCTTACATGTCAGACATGTAAATACAAAGGAATTAAGTAGTATGTATTCAAATCTTCTTAAAAATAAACAAGAAAAGAAAGCATGCAGTCCTCCCATATGTTATCTAATGTTATATCCTCTGCTCATTCAAGGAAGATTAAGATCATATGTATTAGGCTTCCTTAAACATCTCAAAAAAAGCAGGTAATGTACAACTGATTCGCATTCTACACTGACATATAATGACTAATCCAGATCTCACACATTTGAAGAGTGCCGTTTTGTTAAATATTCAAAATATTTGAACATTGCACGTGTGATCGGAACAGCCCCTTATATATCTAAAAACTTATTGCAATATTCCTTCCTTCTCTATAACAAAAACAAGAACTTAATATCAAGATCAGAACTTAAACATTGCACACAAAAAAATAGTTTATACAATCCTATGATGTTAAGCCATGAAAACAAATCCACATTGTAACACAAAGTAATAGAAAATTGCAGGTCAATCAAAGCCAAACTCATGACACTCACGAACTACTTTCTGCACATTTGGCTCACTCCGGTGCAGCCGATTTGCCATTGAGATTGAGCTGTCATAGATGCAGCTTAGATCTTCTACGAGAAAACTGCACGGTTGATTCTCTTCGTCCAGCTTCTGCTACAAAAACACAATTCAGCAGAAAAATTCAGTATCTCTTGTTATTTCATGTTAGTAGGAGAAGTGTAGGAAGAGCATTCAACTAACCAGTTCATGCGTTAGGGCTCTGTATATTTGTCTGCTGCTTTTGAGCTGTAAAGAACTTAATTAATTTGGTTAAGTTTGATTTCAATTAAACATACCAAATATTTAGGAGTAAAGTGTGAAAAATGATCCCCTAATACTCTGTAGACGGTCAATTTGGTCCCAGAATTTATAAAAGTCATAATTCAATGGAGGACTTTTATTATTATCATTTTCTATTTATTTCCATTTTTGTGTTAGAATTAAGTTTTACTACAATAATTTCAAAGTAGAAGAGTTACAAGATGAACCAAATGTCATAGCCCCACTTCTGTCCTTGAGGTCAAAAGTTCGAGCCCCTGCTCCACTCACCTGTTAGTTATTGAGGAAAAAAAAAAAACTATTTGCGCGCATACAGCACAATTCTTATGTATTTACATATACAACAACAACAACAACAAAGCCTTAATCCCACTACGTGGGGTCGGCTACATAAATCCTTTTTCTCCAATGCGTCCTATTTAGTTCATGTATTATACATATTCAAATATTTAACATTGAAACAAAAATACCACTATCATTATCTTTTAAAAGTGAAATACACATCTTCAATCATAGGTTTATGAAACCAATGTGTTATAAGTATAAATATCAACCATTAGCTTTTAGATATTTAAATAATTAAGAATTGTGCATATAGAAAAAAATTTATCTATTTCTCTTGTGTAAAAAGTTTGTCCCCATGTATGTCTTTTCTATCACGGGCATTGTGCTTCTGATGCCGAGTTAACTCACACTATATTTGGAAAAACAAATGTTATTACTAAAAAAAAACTATATGATTACCAACGAAACACACTTAGAAGTGAAATTATAACAAAATAAGACACAAAGTCATATTAGGGCTTGCTCCGGGAGTGTTGAAGGTCGGCTAAGTGGATAGAGAGGTGGCAACAAGGTAGTGAAGGTGCGGTGAAAAAGCCTGGAATAGCTAGGGGACAACAGACAAAAATTGGGTTTGCTGTTTTCTGATGACGGCAGCTAGAAAAAGGTTTGCGTCCACCAGGCAGGGGGCTGGATTGATGGAAGCAGGTGGTGGGGGTTGTGGGTGCCTGGACTGCAAGATTAACAACAAAGATTGTTGTCTTGGGCGACTGCAGCAATGGAGAAGGATGGCAAGTGAAGGGGTAAAGTAGGGGTACTGCAGGACAGCAAGGGGTGGCTATCTAGGGTGATGGCAGCGAGCAAAAATGCTGGAATTGAAAAACTATAGTGAAAACAACAAACGAGTGATGTTTGAGAATGGCTACAGTGATGGAGGGTTGTTGGGAGCGTCGCGGAAGGGGATAATGAAGATGATTACCACCCTCGAAGAGAGAAACAGCCAAAACACCACTCAAACTCTGAGATACATTCCTTACATGGAGGAAACAGACACCGGCTACTGTCCTAAACAAACTAAAGCTAAAAACTTCTCTCTAAATCCTAATACAACACATAAATATATATAAAAATACTAAAAAAATAATAAAAGGAAAATAGGTAATTGGCTAAAATTGGAAAGGAAACCAAAGAAAGAGCTGCTCGGTTACGTCTTCATGCGACCTCTTTAAGATAAAATATATAAGGATCAGGAATAATCCTTAAAAGCAAAGCCAAAGGGACAGCAACAAAAATATAGTCTGTTATAGTGCACGTCTTTAATACAAGAAGAAAAACTAAGCCGCAGCCAAATATGCTCAGTTTTCATTGGTTCATTCTGTAACAACTAACTGAAGACATGTTTACAGAGGAGAACATAACCTTCAACAAAGACAATTTCACAAACTAAACAAAATTTTGTTTCCCGGTACCTTTTTCCTGCAAGTGTCTGTTTGCGTAGCGATCACATGATACTGCAAAAATGCAATTAATTGGAAAAACAAAATTGTTAGCATCTCTGGCTGGTTACTGCATACAGTAAGTACATGTTAAAAATACAATATATTTTACTGTTGAAAGGTTAATAATTATGATATTTTTTTTATATGATATGAAAGATTTGAATATAATAAATGTAAAAATCAAAGTTCAGTTGTTATACATGTAAATTCACAAGTATTGTGTGGTACATGAGTAAATGCCATATGCTCGTATAATTTTTGTGTGTGTATATCTTGGGCAGTAAATGAGCCGAACTTGAGTGGGCTCAAACTTGAGTCGTGTTGGGCTTATTCAAAAATTGACTCATGTTCTAATTGACTCGTGTTGTAAATTGCTTGGTAAAAATGTGTTCGTGTACAGCTCTATTTATATATTCTTGTTTGCATTTTTGTTCGGCTCAAAATTGACTCATTTAAATTAATTTAAAAAAAAATAGAATATCCAAAAAAATCCGATCACACGAGTTAGATGTAAATATATATAATATATAATTTCTTTCAAGCTAAAACAACTTGAACACGATTGAACAAGAAATTGTTAGTGCTCAACTTGTTTATAATTCTACTTTAAAAAATTCGATCATGTTTGGCTTACTTAAAGAAGATTCAAATATAGACTACTTAACGAGACAAACATAAGTTGTTTGAGAACAACAAACTTTAAATAGTTGGAGCAGGAGCTCTGGATTTTTATCGCAAGTCTTGGCTTGTTGGTGGCGGGGTCAATGTAAGTCTCCTCACGTCAAAGATTTGATCTCATCGTGGGACAGAAATTTTAGGCACATGGCCCGGGCTCTCATAATGAGGCCAAAAAACTCATGATCCTTTTAATATAAATATATATATATATATATATATATGTATATGTATACACGCGCGTGTAAATTCTAGTCATCAATGAATCAAACATCATAGAACTCAGTGAGGTTTGTGCAGAATTATGCAATCAGAAATTTAAGTAGAAAAATGAAGTATTAATTCGTATTTTTCCCAATAAACAGATCCACACCTTTCTCTGCCGAACAATCTTAACCGACTCCTCCAATTTTTGCTCAAGACCGCGCAGCTCTTTAACGCCCAACCCTTCCAGATTCTCCCCCTTCCTCTGTCTGCATAACCACAACACCATTCTCTTAACTTCATCAAGCTATCAAACCCAATCCCCCAAAATTCAAACCCACCTTATCTCCTTCTGAAGATTACGATTAATCTCCCTGAGATTCCTCAGAGTGTTCTGCATCCTCTGCATAAAAATCACTTTTTTTTCTTCTTCTTCACAGAGAAACAGAGAATTGATGCAGTGAAAAATATGATGGCACATACCTGATATTGCGCATCCCATATATCAATTCCGGTAACATTTTGGTACCTCTCAACTATATCTTTAACGCTGCCAAAAGATTGCATGAAGTAATTGGTGTTTGGGCAGAAAAGAAAAGGGGATGAGAAGAGAGTTTACTCTGTGGAAGGGCTGCAGAAATCAGCTAACTTGCCGGAGCTTGAGAAGATGATGAGTGAGAGTTGAGCGTCGCAGAGCACTGTGAGTTCCTCTGCCTTCTTCATGATCCCAAGTCGCCTCTTTGAATACGTTACTTGCCTGCTTGTTGGATTCTCTATCTTCTTTATCTCTATCTTCCCTCTCCCCATTCCCTCCACCCCCCTTAGCTTCCTTCAGCACAAATTCACTTCTCTCTCTCTCTCTCTCTCTCTCTGCCTCTCCCTCTCTCTCCCCCTGAAAGGCAACAAAGTCGTGTTCTACAATTCAATGGGTGGTGAAGGCCGCATACGTAGAAAGTGAAAAAGGAGGGATTTTTAAAGTGATAAAGAGGCAGTTAGTGGAGACTGGATGTTGTGGAGAGGAGCGGATGAAGAAGATGAAGACGAAGAAGGAATTCCACTTTAGGGAGAGATTGCAAAAGCTAAAGTTTCCCTAAGTGAAAGTGATTTCCTTCTCTGTGAAAGCGAAGTGGAACATGTGTATGTTCTTCCTCTCCATTTCAGCAGACGCTGGCTTTTAAAAATAAAAATAATTAATAATATTAAACATATTTATGTATCTAACACTTAAGACTTTTGTATTTATAAATATAACACTCAAATATTAAACATCACATAAATATTTTACTATTATTTATTTTTAAATGTGAATTACACTTTTTAATATATAAATTTACAAGATTTAAGTAACTTTTGTAAGTGTAATTTTTACATTTTATTTGTGTGCAATATAAAGATGAATCTCAAGAAAATCCAAGAACTTAAGAGAATAGGTAGAGCTATTGGGGGCTCAAAAAAAGAACCAAAAATCTCATCAGTGGAAAATTAAGGGACTAAATTGATCAAGTGCAAATCTGTAGATCCGGTCACGAAACTGACTTAATGCAGGTCGTTCGAACCAAATACCAATATATATCGAGTTGAGAGAAGCTATAAGCCCAACACTCGCCTTAAATCGTTACCCATCTTACAAGAGCCTATGAGATTCTTCAAGAAGATAACAAGAGTTTATCAAGATATACTCCATGAATACCCCGAAGGATCCTTTGTCAAATGGTGAGCTATTTATCGAATTACTATCATTCACGCTATTTTTGATTGCCCGGTCTCATCTTTGCTATAGAAGTTCCTCATCTAGGGGTCGATAGTCAACAGTCGTACCAAAGTAGCCGATCGACATAATCAAGGTGACCGATTCAAATCCGATAGAACCGAAAATACATAAGACCCGACTAGCATGCCGAACTCAGCAAGGTGGTGCATGTAATTATGCACATCATTCATAAATATTCAATAAAAGCTAATCTAATCGCTTGTTCATTACTGCTCTCTATCTCGAAAAATTATTCCATGCGGATCGGACACCGCAAGCAGCTTGCGTGTGGTGTCCGATCCGGACCGTAAATCCCCTGAG